CTGAAGTTTTCAAATACAGAGAATTAATAAGTATTTATGCTGCTCCTCAACTGTAAGTAATGGAACTTAATAGGTACTTTTGCTGGCATAAGGTCTAAAGTTTTGCTGTGGAAAAGCCTGAGAGGATGGTAAATTGTAATATGGGTAAAAGTTTTTTTGAATCTATAAAGTCATCAAAACATGTTATTTAGGGACTCTGAGGAAAAAAAGAAGGAAAAAAAATATAATGAAGCAGGTTCAGATGCAACATAAGGGAAACAAACTATGAGAGAAGAATCCAGTCAATATCCTACCTGAGCTAAACAGCAGAATGCTTCAAAGGTAGCCAAGACTAAGAGGAGAAAACAGTAAGAATTTCTCAATTCTTTCCCAGTGTAAGAATCTAATGTGGTGTAAGTAACTCATCCAAGCTGAAGGCTGTAATAATATGATCAACTTTGAAAGCAGCAACTCAAAAGACAACTCCACTTCTTCCCTGTGGAACAGTGCATACTAGAGTAGACAATCTTGATCTCCACCTTCTGAAATACCATGATCACCTTAACAGAGCCACTAACAAAAGAAATAAATAGAGAAACAACAAAAGCACAAGTTCTTTACACTGTTCTTTCCTCTGTGTTATCATTCTTTACATTTTATTACTTTCCACAAATTGCCAACATTTAAGTTACCCTTCCTGGCACGGTCCGAGTTCACACCTGGGATCAAGTTGCTCAAATAAGAGAGATTTAGATGGCAGCACCTCTAGTGTTAAGCAGCACACCACCCTTAACCAACAAGAAGAGTCCAGGACTCTAATACAGAGCAAAAGGAATCAGAATCCATTGTGACAAGAACACACTGCTGCTAAGAAATATGAACAAGGACATAGAGAAGTTGTTTCATGAAAAAAATTATTTCCCCTTGCCTTGCAATAGTTCTTCCAGATTATTCTGCAGTTCCTGTTCAGTCAATAAATCTGTACAAGGAAAAACACATGTGCTTAGAACAGCCATTTTTGCCAGCAGGCACAAAATCAGCTTGGCACCCGCCAATAGACCACCAAGTGCAGCAGCACTTTACTCCATGGTAGTATACACAGTGCCAGCTGAGAAGAGAAACTGAAGAAAAAAGCAGAAGTGATGCAGGCTAGAACAGCCTTGATGGTCAGGTAGGGCCAGTTTCATAATTTATGAGGTACAGGACCACTCCACACATCCTACTCTCAAGAGCTTCTCTTCCTTGCCTGTTCATTGAAAGAGAGATGCTAATGCCAGCTGTTCTGCACTCTTTCAGTTGGGTTCACAAAAGTGAACCTTTGAGAAGTAGAGCTTGTGGTCACAAATATTTTTGTTTGCTTTATGACTTCTGATAAGGACTTATCTGTACTGTTACCACTGCATTAGTCCCAAGGCAATCACTGCCAGCAGACAGCCTGAGAGCTACTACATCTTCTCCTGTCTCAGCCCAAACAAAATCAGACCAAATCACCCTGAGCATTGTCTTCATTCAGACCTACTCTCTGTGCATGTTCCCAGTGAAATAAACCGAGATTGAATTTGGCCCCTAATAGAAGTAACCCTTTCTGGTTTAATTTTCTAATCCAGAAGACAAGGCCTCAGCATAGCATACAACTTCAAGTAACACAAAATCTTGGGATCCATCCTAGAACTGGTTTTCTGGTTGAGCAGCATCGAGAACAGACATTTCAGCTGAAATCGGCATCAACTTGTCATTTGACAACCTCTGCCTTGGTCAGAGTCCAGTTAAGCAGCTGCTGTTACTCAGTTGGTTGGCCTGGGTGCATCCCCCAAACAAAGCAGCCCATACATGTTTATTCATCTTAGCCTGGCATTTACACAAGCAAGTTTGCAAGCTCTGAAGGTGTCATGTGACTCCATCAGAAATCCCATCAGAATCCCAACACATTCCTAATTCCTCCTCTTGCAAAACGGTCATCTCCAAATTCACTTTTCATGATATTAAGATAAGGGCCACAAGAACAAGACAAGCATGCTCTGGCCCTTCAAATGACCATTTTTCTCAGAAAGGCAGGTAGAAATATATTGAATATTTACTGGACTGCAAAACTCATCACAAGGGAGGCTTTTTCAGCACAGCTAGGCTTAGCTCTTCTTGTCATTAGCTCTTATGTGGGAAAATGCCCCAGATTTTAACTGCAATAAGGGGGAAAATAAGGCTTTTAAAAATTCATTAAAGCACACCAATGGGTTTTTTTATACCCTTTGTAGAGCAGATGGCAAGATGAGGCGATACCCCCTGGGCCTGCTTCAGGGATCTAACACAAATGCTCTTGTCGCTACAGATCTCAGATGATGTTGGTGTCATCATTTCACTTGGGGATTTGGGTCAAAAGGCTTTACGCTCAAATCTGTTTTTTATATAGTACAAGTGTACCCAGACTAGACTAACAGATAAGCAGTGGGGAGGTTAGTACACACACAGAGCCCTCTCAGGCACTTCCAGGTCGCTGATTTACACTGGTACATTTAGAGACTGAATCTTTCTAATCCAATTAAAATCTCATCTGACCTGTCAATACAGATGCAGCCTGTTTTATAGTACTGTCTCATAGAACATGCATTAATCCGGACCTGTGAACAAACTAGCCCTTCTAGGCAAATTCTGCATTCGGCCAGTCTGGTTTCTCACCCATGTTCTCTCACTCATAAAGCCCTAAACTGCTACCATGTTACTTGCCTACCCAGGAACTCCTCTGGACATGTATCCCTATCCTATCCAAGTACTTTATAAAAATGTGTGATACACACCATTAGCCTTCTGAAAAACAGCACTTTTCTCTCCTAGCTCACTTCTCACATAATGATGGCTTAGTTACTATCATAAAATATAAGAACATGAATATGATCTATTTTCATTTCAATTGCTTCATTTGTTTGAAATGCATGTGCCAGTTACAGGCTGTCAGCACCAGCATATTTAATAAGTTATGGCATAGACCAACAACTCTCAAACTTCTGGGGCCAAAAATTTTTACAGATCATCATGTATACTTGTCATTAAATTCTGCACCAAAACCATTATAAATTACACTGTTTAATAGACTTCCAGAAGGCAGCTGTGAGATGTTTTGCCACAAGCCCATGAAATCCAGTATTTGCCAGGCATAAAACAAAAAGCTAAAAGCACCCTTAACACCACCATAAACTCTCAAACTCTGCACAGAAACCAACACCCTTCTCAATGCGCAAAAGCCCAGCAGCAACTGAACGACGTCTTTCACAATGACCCAAAGGTAAACAAGTTCAAGCTTTCACAAGCCAAGTTCAGAAGCAAAGCGTATCTGTTGCTGACATCATAAAAGCTGGACTGAATGCTTCAATGGATCTTAGTATTGGTGAACCTTGATACAGCAATTAAAGCTTTGCATGTGAAAATCAATACTTAAAACAGCATCCAGAATTAAACTGACAGCAGATTATACTCTTACTCAGGAGAGATACCTGTCACCAAGCAGAATTCTCCAGTCAGTCAGCTGCACTTTCAGAGAGGAATTCAAGTACTCTCACATAAAAGATAAACCGACTTAAATATAGACCAGCATTTTGTGACATCTCCTATTAAGAGGAGACTCCTCATCTGCTTCTTAGTCAGAAGCAAATAGACTCTCTTTTGCTGTACACCCTATTCTTCCTGAAACAGCTGCGAATCCTATCGACTCCTTCCCACAGTCTTGTCATAGAAAACTGTAAATGCTAAAAAATTGTCATGGGTGCTAGGTAACATGGAAACAGTTAATGAAAAAGAAATGCATACTAGATTACTATGTACACAGAAAGCAACTTTGGCTGAGGAAGCCCTTGAGCTTAAAATTGTTATACGGTTGGAGAGTATCCTGGAAAAGACCACCCTAGGGCCACATCTTAAATTCTTCCCTAAGCATCTGCTTTGGACCCCATTTTGAAATAGGAGCCTGAGCTAGGTTGTCAGACCACTGATCTGACAAACTATAGCTGTCCCTATTTTTAGTATGACGTACTATAGTTGTCCACATGTTAATCTCCATTTGCATACCCAAATTATATGGTTATTTTCATTACTGTAGTACTTTGAAGCTATGGTAATGGACAAGAACTGACTGGGCTAATGTTATATAAATGTAATTCTGAGATCCAGTATTTTCTGTTCTATTCCTCATCTCAGTACCAGCACTCAGGTGTATATATACACTCACTTTACATAACCTCTTATCTCAGAGTGGTAATGAGATAGCTAATCAATCGCATCAAATGGGCATCACCTTTGCAATGCTGATTGCAAAACATCACAGCCCTATGACCTTTGACTATGTTCTGCATGCAGGTTGAACAAGCGGGCAAAGACAGTGAAGTGATTTGATACCAAGCATGAACAGCAAGTGCAGTGCTTGCTACTGGAATCTTCAACATTTACCACAAAAACAAAGTTCATCTGAAATACATCCTTCCCTTCCTGTTCATGTCTCTTGCTGTAACAGCACAGACAAGAACAGGAAGGAATTTCATGGTTCAAAGGCAGATGGATGATGAAACAATTAGCATGGTCACCTGCTTTTTGTACCTCACCAGAAATATGTTGCCGATCAACAGAACAGTATAGTTCTTATTTTATAGGCCTAAACCCCTTAAGATTTTCTACTGTGCTATACCATGAAGCTGATTTCATGCCAAAGTTGTTAAAAAGGAATTGGCTGTCAGGGATTCATTCTCTATAGAACTTACGAGGTTCCTTCTAATATGCCTGATCTGGAGGATTGCATAGTGCTGCGAGAATAAATAAGCATATTTAAGTATCTTGTTTTACTTATGCCCAGTGCTACTGTCATCCACCCTGTCACTTGCCTCCTTTCTCCCACCAAGGAATTGGTCATAAAAGAATGAGGGGGAAGGAGAAGCTTCAACATAAGTATTTATCCTATCCCTAATAAGTCCCTTTACTTGTTTCTCTGAGAGGAGTTCATCCACCCCCTAAAATATATCAATCTGCCAGCAGAAACTTACCACAAGTTCAGAGAATCTGGCATTGAGCTCTTCTGCTGGTGGGATTGGGACAGAAAACTCAAGGAACTGGAGGGGGTTATTGTCCTTGAGGTTGATTTCAGGGAGGTCGCTGCCCCCAAAACAACAAAGAAACCCCAACGCATGACGATTCCTCTTCCGGGGTGCCATGGTCATGGTGTATGATGCTATCTTCTGATCATGTTCTACAGGAAGAAAAAAAAAACCAGACATTAGTTGATAAACAAGACTCTGTTGGACCTGTGCAGCTCTCTGTAGTTACAAGTGTTATCACTGGCATCACAGCTGAAAGAGAACAAAAGGATCCGAGACACGAAAGAGAGAAATAAACACTCAAGATAGACAAGGTAGCTATGCTTTAATGTGGTATTAACATGTTCCTCTATGGCAGTGTAAACAAGATCTCCCAAAGTTTCTGAAGAGGTTTTACAAACTCACTGTGGGATTTCCCAGGAGGTAGATTTATCAGCAATACTCAGTAGCCAAGGTTGAATGTTATCATTGAATGCCACTGGCCTTTCTCTCACCACTACAGTAAAAGACCCAAAGTATCAGAAGCAGAAAGCGTACACTGGAGCATTTACCCAGAACAACTGGAAGAATCCTCCAAAGGTATGCCATCTAGTCAAGATAAAATGAACAATGAAACAATAAAGCAGAAATTAATTTTCCACCACTCTGGAGCCAGACCACCAACGCTATGGCTCTGTGTCCAGGAGTATTGCAGTAGGACCATTTTGTCTATCCCACCTTCAAATATACATAACTAGTTTGGGCTGCTTTATGTATCCAGGGGAGAAAGTGTGCAGTGCTAATGCATGCTTTCAGATTTACATCTGAGCTGCCAGATCCCATCTTGACAGGATGCAGGCTTGAGGGGCTTTAGTATCAGGAGTGTAAAGGGAAGCAAAGGGAGACCTGAAGGAGGAGCTGGGAGTGACTGATTTCACCACACAACACCGTTTGTGAGCAGCCCATCCAAACAGGAAGTCTCCTGCCAGCAGTTTGAAAGGAGGGATCTGTGCAGTCCACGGAGAGCCGCATATTTTGCCCTTTTAAGGGACTTGTTGTTTGACAGCTCAGGGGCTTATTTGTGTTATATTTTTGAAGGACTTCACTTTTTCACTTAATCTGCAGAATAAGCCACATCCTTAGAGAATAAATAATTAAAGCCTGTTGTGAAGCTCAGCTCCTGGGCACAGGGCAGGAGAACAGGGAGGGAGGTGGCAGGTGAACCAAACCACAGGATGCTGGATGCTGTATCAGCAGCAACACAGCTGAGCTTTGTCATCAGAGCAGCTGCTGCCCTAACCTGCCCCACAATGCTTTAGTCTGTTTGCTTGCCAGAACAAGGCTGCTTTGAGTTCTCATAAAGACTAAGTAGCTGCGCTAGGAAAAGCACCTTTAGGACAGCAGTTGCATAGTGGGACTTAACATACTGCACACAGTCAGAGGCTCTCCAGGGGCTTTTTGTGTAGACATCAGCATGCTTGCTTAAGAAAAAAACTAAGCAACAAACAACAACAAAACAAAAAACCCAAACCACCCAAACCTCCACCCTTGAAGCAGTATGTGCTTGGCAGGCACCTGCCCTACTTTGTGATAGGATTAATTTACATAGCACCTTCTCTTATGCACTGGAGGGGCATCAGCTGCAACTCTCACGCAGCTGAAAGTGAGCTGGTACCAAGCACTGTCTTCTGGCATGCCCACTTTCCTTTGCTCTCCGTGCCAACCCTGGAAGGGGTAGTGTGTCTCAGCAGGACACTAGGGCAACGTGATGCTGGCTTCAAAAGCACATTCATAAGAAGATTCTCATTAGGAGATGCCAAAGGTCAGCTTAACCCTGGAACTGTTCTCTGACACTGCCAGCAAAACCAAAATGCCCTCAAAACTAGCACAATGATGTGCTCAGCAATTCAGTGGTGGAGATTGAAGAGATTCAGTTCTTAAAAGAGTTCATAAGAGAGCCTCAGAAGAAGTTGAATTTGTCCACCACAGACCGTCTTCTCAGGGACTACTCTGAGTGGAATTTCTTTGATGGCAATCTAATCACGGATGAGGTTTGAACCCATTAGTTTGACAACCTTATTTTGGAAGGAACTCAAATCAATGAGACGAACCTGATTTAAGTACAATATAACTACACTTCCATCAATTCAGTTGTAACCAAGGTCTGGCCCACTGCCTAGAGGCTTCTTCACCAACCATCAAAGGAACAGCACTCCCTGGGGCAGGGAAAATGAATGATCCTTGGAAAAAATGGCGGAGACATTACAGGAGTGCTTACCAAATTCTTGACATGAGCTCATAAAGGAAAATGCCATGGTCCTATCAATTCAGTGTCTTACATCTTCATCACTCAGCATCCACCTTGAGCAGTTTCACCTAAAGAGGTGAACAGTCTCCAGACCTTCTTCACCCATAATGCCAAAAAAATGCATAAGCTACTGCTTGTTCCTATGGTGTTTTTACAAAATCAGCACCCGTTCCTTGGGATCTATACTTGAGAAACTCAGCAAAAGCTACTCAGCTTTTACTACTCTGCCAAAGCATGCACAGCTCACATAAATAGTAACCTTGTAGTGCCTCACTTTCACAAAGCATCATTCCACTGCACAACTTGTACTCAACACTGGCATTTTCCAGGTCTGTCCATAAGCAGCATGCAGGAAATTCATACTGACACAGAGGAGTAAAATGGTACTTTTGTATTGCTACAACAACATAGCTATAGATAGGTGTCTAGATGCTTTTAAAATAAGAATAATTGAACACTTTGAGAAGAATCCAGAACAGATATTTTAGAAATTAATCACTGAATGAATGATATTTCTAAGTGGGAGCACTATCTTTCTGAAGATTAAGCCTGCCACTCACCAGATGCTGAAGGGCATTTACTTAAGTTACACCATCTATGCTACTTTAAGAACTAATTATAAGGCCTTGATTTTCACTGATGGATATAGTTTTAGACAAAAACGTTTTCTAATGCCTCCAAATTAAATTAAAGTTTTCCCTTTTTTTCTCTCTCTTTTGCATTTTCTTTGTGGAGAACCACATCTGGGGGAAATGTGCTTTCAAAGGAGAGAGTGGGGATAGGGCAGGAGGCAACAAAGAAAATTTAAAAATGAAACGTACAATTATCTATTTCTATATATACTTCCAGCAGAATCAATGGGAAATCTCTCTCTGGAGAGAATCCCACTATTACACATAACTCCCTCTCACAGCTCTTCTCGGTTGTACTGTTTTACCCTCTTGCACAACACAAACAAGTTGCTGTCATTTCAACAGCTAACCGCACACCCATTCCTCACAGCAATCCCCCTTCTGCTTCCCAGCCCCATCTGTGGTTCGGCTCAGGTCAGGAGTCACAATGTGGAACACTGCCCGAGGTCTAATTATAGCAATGTCCTCTTCCTCATACAGGGTGTACGTGTTCATTTCTAAACCATTTGGCCCAGTGACCAAACATAATTAAGCTAATGCAATTTTAAAGTCTTATCAGGTTTAGCTACGTGGGATGGGATCCTTGCTAACTGCACACAAGCATCCTCTTTCAGTTGCAGGTTCTAAATGGTTTCTTCAATCTCTTCTCTTCATTCTCATTTCAGAAATTATAATTTTCATGTGAACATATCCTGAATAAGCAACATTCCACAAACGAGACACCTGAAACAACTGCTATGCCAGAAGCTCTCCTGTGCAAGAGAGCTTATTAACCTAATTCTTACCTCACTGTCCTGTCCTTCACCACAGTGAACAGCCACAGCACTGTAACTAAAATAGAGAAAACTACTTATGTATCATCACCTTTGAAAAAACAGAAAAAAATAGGGGAAAAAAAATAAAAAAAGAGAACTCTGTGGGTTAACTAAACACATGCAGTCCTGCAAAACCAGTTCGTAATGTAAGGAAGCATTAATGGAAAACACTGACATGCTTACTTCCATAGCTGAATCTTTACTGATCATCAACAGACACACATTGTTGGTGGATGTAGGCACAGCTCCCACCTGAGTGGGAGGCATGGGACTAAATGTATGATGCAGAATCACCATCCATGCTGGTTTATGCTAACAGAAGAGGAAACAAAGTAAATCACTTCCATTTCTCTGCAAATCTGTATTTTTCTCTCTGGCAGGATAAAACATATAAATGTAATGTATGATCACAAATGTAGAAAGAAACCTGAATTTGGACTGCTTTAAAGCATAAGCCAACTCACCCTCCACCCCCAAATCCAATGCTGAATCTCTGTTATTCAGCTTTTAAATAATAAACCACCAGAACTTCATGGCATTATAATAGCTACCTTCATCATCACTTACTGATGATAAAATGGAGAAAATAAGCACTGGTCTAAAAAATTGTCAAAATATATACATTGGTAAAGAGCTCCATACTGATCCTATGCTCAGTTCCCTAGACCACATTGCTTCTCCAGTACACAGATGGTGCAACTACAAGCTTCACACCATGTTCCGATTACCATGGGAATTTTCTATGTACATCACATGTAACATGACAGATGTCAGATGCAATATAAAGCAATTGCATCATGGGGGATAGGCCCAAAATTGATCAATAGATCACAGGAAAGAAAATCCTGGTATACACATAGTAGTATATATTATTAATACTTTATTCTTTAATTCTTATTCACCATTTATTTATTCATTTATTGCCTAGGAAGCATGTCCTGAGAGAAAAGGCTAGGGTTATTTGAAGAAGTACTTAATGCAACGTCTGTCAAAAATGTGTTTATTTTTAATACTTTAAGGATGCTCAGGATGTGCTGGATGACTAATGACCACTAATGTTAGTCTGTTAATGCCCACAAATCCAATACCTCTCACCTTATACCAGTTTACCAACACAAAAAAGGCTAAAGAACTAAAAGAGGCAAAGTTTTCCCTTCTGACAGACAAATTTGTAACACTCTCACTGTCCTCACCTGGGAATGAGGGGGAAGAGGGAGAAGCACTAATTTAAAAAAAAAAACAAACAAAAAAAAAAAAAAACCAACCAAACAAAAAAAACCCCAAACCCCACACAAAACAAAAAACTAAACAACAAAAGAAAACAGAAAAAAAGATACCACCAGGTTCCTTATGTTCTTCCCAATCCATTTATCTATCCAAACT